CTCAGCGATATTTATTCACCAGCTCAGTAGCTAGTTTGTATGACTGCTCCCACGGGTGAATAAAACGAATACATAAGAATACCCGATTTCTGAACAAGATTACAGGCACACTTACCTGACCTCTTCAAAGGTCATAAGAACAAAAAACCAACTTCGTTACACGGTAATACTGCTTCCGCAAAAAATTTTGCTCTTCGATTTTGGATAATCCGACAGCAGAGGGTAAAGTTGAGTACACAATAGCAATCGATCAGCAGATTGATTGAGTGCATCCTGTACACATATAACACAACGCCATACACTAACAAGCACATAGTGACGCAATAAACACGTACACTACGTTCTTTTTTGAAAAATAGTAAATAAATTGGTTTAATTAAATAAAACTACTTGATTGATCAAATCAAACAGTGAAAAAAGAAGATTACATATAAACAACAACTACAAGGCACTTGGTTAAAGGTAATAAACAAAATTTATCTAAAGGATACAGCGGGAATGATATTATCTTCGGATCAACGAAATAACATAACACTCAATACTTTGCGACAGTCAACAGGTAAAATTAGTTAGATAAAGTCAATATAGTAAATTCAAACAAATAAAAAAAAACTTAGGTATGGTTTAGGTAAAAAAGCAATCTATAAATAATTATAATAATTCGCATGTGTTTGACAAACAACAACTGCATAACAACATAGACAAGTGCGAGCACATNACTTTTTGTGACAATTATGCTATTTATCATTCATCATCATAAGATAGTTAGTCCTAAGACTGGTTGGACGCGCACCCTCACTCTTTCCTATCCTGATCCTAATCTTCGCATTTTCCTAAAACTAGAACAATCCACATCCTTAACCATTTGAGAACAGTAATCTAATCTAGGTCTACCTGTACCTCTCCTAACTTCCGTTTCCGCCTCTTATATGTCTCTGACTAGACCTTCATGCGTGAGAAGGGGTCCTATTAACTTATTTCGCTTATTGACTTTCATAGAGTACTCCGTTCTCTTATTCTTTCTAATACCTCTTCATTTCGAATTTTCTCTATCAACGGTATCTTCATCATTCGCCTGTAACACCACATTTCGAACGCTGCTAACATTTTCTTTTCCACCGCGCCCACTGTATAAGTTCGCGAGCATAGAAGTGACTTCTTTTTTTGAAGGGGACTTGACCTCTGCTTTATATCCCTACTACTCCTTCCGTCCTGACTTATCTGCCTTCCTAGATACCTAAAATCGACCACTTCTTCCAATTTTTCGTCTCCCGTCTTTATATTAGCTTTTTCCCTACTTTTTCTTCCCTTCTGTACCAGTATTTTTGTTTTACTTTTATTTATTTTCATACAGTACTGATCTGTCAGTACCGCTTCCATTTTATTTAAAGCGATCTCTAGGTCCTCCTTGCTAGATGCTAATACTACTATATCATCTGCAAATCTGAGCATACTAATCTTTTGCCCTTGCACAACTATCCCTACAGTTGTACTGTCTTTAATGATGTTGATGGCGTTTTCGATGTATAGATTAAAAAGTAGCGGTGACAGTGTGCATCCCTGCCTGACTCCCTTCCTAATATTTACTTCTCTAAATCGTACATATTAAGAGATTAATTTGATATTTATTACGGTTTGGAAGTAACTAACTAATTAATTTATGTTTATTTTCATACAGTACTGTTTGGTTAATACCTCATCCATTTTATTTAAAGCTATTTCTAACTCCTTGCTAGATGCTAATACTGCTATACCATCTGCAAATCTAAGTATATCTATGTATGTATGGATTAAAAAGTAGCGATGTCAGTGTGCATCCTTGTCTGACTCCCTTCCTAACATTTACTTCTCTATGTTACAGCTCCAACTCTATAAGTGTCTGTTGCTCTTTATACAAACTAATTATCATTCTTCTATCTTTGTAACTCATCCCTACATTTTTAAGTATATTTAACACCTTGGCCCTTTAACATTGTCAATAGCTTTTTCTAAATCTACAAATCCTATATACATACTGTTTGTTTTCAAAATTCTATCAGTCTATCTCCCCTATCATTTCTATTGCTTAATGCAAAATTGCGCCCACTTTATTTATCATTATTTCTTAAAGATATAGACAACACTTTAGTGATTTACGCTGATAAAATAAATAGATAAAATTTAGTTTACTTATTTTGATAAATTTAATTTTTTTTGAAGTAGGTTTAATGATTTTATATCACAAAGTTATAGTGTCTACATCCCATATACGTCATAAATAAAGAAAAAAGATAAATAATTGTTAACAAAATAATACTCAAAAGCTAAAAACTTAAAATGCTTCAGTCACCTGTGTGACAAGATAAGCCAAAAGCAAATAATATAAAAGCGGCAGAGCTATTGAAGAAGTCAGGATGAAGATGAAGTTCCTAATGCCAGAACTCGTTGCTGTTTTATTATTAGCTGGAACAATACCTAGCTATGCCCAACAGGTGAGAAAAATATTCGTTTTTCTATTTTAAAGTGCATTACATGAGCGTCCACCGTTATTTTAATCATTTACAAAACAAGACGGATTTATTCTTTCACTACGATAAATTTGGCTAAATTCGGTAACTAACCTAACATAACCTAACTGAAACTAACCTAAGCTTTTAATGCTTAGCACTTAAACAATAATATTTTTGAAGAATTTCATACTGTTCTTATACTTTAATGTAGTATGTTCATATTTTAATTAGACGTTTTAGTAGTCAGCTAGTTGGGGAATATTAAATTATGGGAGCAGATACCATACATCTGTAATTATATCATTCTTTAACGTCTAAAAAAGCCTAATAAAGTGGGATGAAATTTTATAAAAGTATGTATATGTATGTACATACAACAAACTATCTGCTTCAAACAAAAGTTTAATGGTCATAGCTTACATGAGCTGAGACTGAAACTTGTTAGACAATATGTAAATTCTTCACTTCACTCACTTCTTTGCAATTGTTAATATCTTCATCAAAATTGCTAATTTTTAATTAAACATTCCTATTGAAAGGAATAATCCACGATACCAGAAGAAGCACTCCTTGTTAACTTATATTCAATTAGGTGCTTAAATAGTAATCTATTTTTAGAATAACCTCAGAAAAGTATCCTGTCTTTTAGGAACACGAAATTATTTTCCTTGTTCTCTTTTATGGCTTACACTTATTTATTAATTTTCTAGGATAATTACATAACTACTGGGTTTGGGGCACCAGTTTCCTATAAGGATGCATCCTTAACAATTGGTCGTCGTGGCCCATTACTACTGGAAGATACAGAATTTATCGATGAAATGGCACACTTTAACCGAGAGCGAATACCGGAAAGAGTAGTGCATGCTAAAGGTGCAGGTGCATTTGGTTACTTTGAGGTCACCAACGATATCACTCGGTACTGTGCAGCCTCTCTTTTTTCAACAGTTGGAAAAAGAACGAAAATCGCGGTTCGGTTTTCCGTAGCTGGTGGTGAAAGAGGTTCGGCGGACACTCGACGAAGTTCACGTGGTTTTGCCATCAAATTTTACACAGAAGAAGGAAATTGGGACCTTGTAGGAAGTAATTTTCCAATATTTGCTATTCGAGATCCCATTCTAACCCCCAGTATGATCCATGCCCAAAAGAGGCATCCAGCAACCTTTCTTCCAAACAGCGACATGCAATGGGACTTTTTCACTTCGAGACCGGAAACAACTTATTTGTTACTTTATACGTTCTCCGACAAGGGAACTCCTGATGGATACAGATTTATGGACGGTTTTGGAGTTAATACGTTCAAACTGATTAATGCCAGCGGCCATCACGTTTATTCTAAATTTCATTATTTATCAGATCAGGGTTTGAGAAACTTAACGGCAAGGAGAGCTCAAGAACTTACAGCCGAAGATCCCGAATATGCTATAAGAGATTTGTATAATGCAATTGGATCCAGTAATTATCCATCATGGACATTGTACATTCAAGTAATGACCGACGAGCAGGCAAGGAATAGTAGTTTTAATCCATTCGACGCCACAAAGATATGGCCCGAAGATATATATCCTTTAATTCAAGTAGGCCGATTAACATTGAATGAAAATCCTACGAATTTTTTCCAAGATGTCGAGCAAATGGCCCTGTCTCCATCAAATTTGGTGCCTGGAATCAAACCTTCGCCCGATAGAATTTTACAAGGAAGACTGTTTTCTTATCCAGATACTCAAAGATACAGATTAGGACCCAACTTTCTTCAAATTCCTGTCAACTGTCCGCTTTACGTCCGAAATTATCAGAGAGACGGTCCAATGTCTTACAATAATCAGGGAAATAATACGGTTTATCATCCGAATTCAGTAGATTCGTTAAACGTTAGTCAAAGGGCAGCAGCATTAAGTCCACCGTACTCCGTTAGTGGTGACGTCTCCAGGTACGACAATGGAGACGAAGATAATTTTTCTCAAGCTAAAGACTTTTACGAAAATGTATTAGATGAGGCGCAAAGGGATAATTTACTTGAAAATTTGGCAAATGCCATTGCCACTGCATCTGATGACCTCCAAAATCGGGCAGTTGACATGTTCACTAACGTTTCTGAAGACATGCGGTATCAACTTCAAGCATTGCTAGGGATTTGGTAGAACCTTTCCGTCCCAGATTTTCCCCATTCGTTTTAAATGTTCACTTAAGGTTTTACAAAACATTTTCAAATGCAATTAAATCATATACCATTTGTAACATAGTCTGGTGATGTAAAACAAGACAATTTTTAAATTTTTGGATTTTTCTGCACCCTATAATTAGTATTTTTAGTCGTTTTAAAAAAATTTAATCCCTATGAAATTAAATTGGCACTTTTGTAAAACAATATTTCGTTTAGTGTTTGAGATAAGGAGTCGTTTTTTAATCTGCATCTTCTTTCTCAAATATATCTTAATAAGCAACGTTCACATATTTGTTTGTCAATAAAAATTAGACCACACCAATCTCATAGTTTGTTTAGTGTACCTTTATATAAGAAAACAGAAAACTATGTAACCATTCAGTCTAAAGCTTTGTGAGGAAATCTTGAAAGTTACAATTTTAAGTCGGTTTGATTAAGAACATGTGCGAAGAGAACGCAGGAAATGAAAATCCACCCTTTCTCACAACTTTTCCCTTCATCTTATTTGATCATTCATATTCCTCACATTTTATCGTTGGCCCTATCTTCAATAGGTACTACAGAAAGATACCCACAGTGGAATGGTGGAATAGTTTTGAGCGTTTTTCTATTTTAGCATGCGTATGGAGTTTGATATAGGATACTAGTGTATCTACATCTACATTTTACACTTACATTCTACTACAGTCACACAAATGCAAATTAAAGTGAATGTAATAGGACACAATTCACTTTTATAACCTCCAAATTCAAATGTTTCGTGAATATTAAATAATTATAATAATAA